TTGGGGGGGGGTGGGGGGGGGGGGGGGGTTGTTTCTGAATGTGGGGTTTGTGTCAAGGTCAGAGTCATTTGGGATCATTTGTGTTCATACATACTAAGGAAGAGGGGGGAGCTTTTCTAAGGTACAACAGGCAATTAGGTGTTCAACTTTTCTTTGAAAGTTAGTTGTAGCTGGGTACCCGAATCACCGACCTGATGTGGTTTCTCTTAAGCCCCTGTGAAATGACAGGTCCAGGACTATCCAAACCAAGAGGCACAGGGGAAACTGAAGATGTTGGCGCTGCACGCAGCAGTCTTTCACATCCCAGTTAAATTATTTGGCTCTTCCTTCCCTTTTTCTTCTAATATTAGCACAAACTATTAGCCCTTACGAATAATTACAACAGCATTTCTGTTAATGAAAGCCCCAAGCCAGTAACTCATTTTCCTGTTTCTCCGTTCAGCCTAACTCTAGGCATGCCATTCTAAGCTGTTCCTGTGCCAAAAGTTGGGGTTTGAAGGCTCATTTTGTAGCCCTGTAACCAACAGGGAAACAGATACTTCTTATGGGATGAGGGTGTAAATCCGTGGTGCCTCTCTTGTCATGTTGTCACCCACTTATACAAAGTTTTCATGCATCTTTATGTGTACAATGCAGAAATTCCAGAAAGCAGGCTCAGTTAGAGAAGGAGGGGACATTGGACAAGGCTCTCTATATATTTCATGTGGGCCTTTGAAAGAGCTGGCAGCTGGATCTTTATGTTAACACACCACCAGCCTATCGAAGGAATGTCTAGGACTTAGGTGAACTTCTGCTCATGAGGCCTCTTTGAAGTCAATGGGGTGGATCCCTGGCCTGAAATAAGCTCCCTGTTGCACCGCTTCAGTAGAAGTCCAGGGATCAGCTGCCTTAAAGGGCCCTGGAAAATTCCCTCGGTACAGGAGAAATCTTCTGTATCATGAAGCTAGCAAGGCCCTCTTTACGCTAGGCTAGCAATCATAGAGGACTAACAGGCATGGAGGGAGGCCAGAGGCTTCTGGGTCAGATGAAGAACCATGGAAGCTGCTGCTGCACCTTGTTCAATCCCTACTCAGCACAGAGGACCTGGGGTGGCAGAAAGATGTCTTTAGCCACCTTTGCCTTTTTTCTCAACTGTACTTTTATATAACTCTGTGAAGCTGGGAATGAAATCCAGTGCACCTGTACAACTAAACTAAGGCACAATTTCCTTCACTGAGTGGATTTATCATGGGTCTCTGTAGGGTTCAGTACATACCAAGTTTGACTCCAAGTTCCTGTAAGGATGAATCCTTTGTACAAGCTAAAATGAACAGGCATGATACTAGAGAAGAACAAGATACTTTAGATTTAAAAAAACATCTATTTGACCTTTCATCCAGCTCCAGAACCAAACTCAGTCTGATCCTTTTCTGTCCTTTTTTTTCTAGATGCAGAAAGCAACAGCACGATATTGTGCCATAATGAATCCTTCATCATGATTGAAAAAGTGCAACAGGGAAACATGTTTAATAGGCTGAAAAATAAAGAAAGACCAGCTAATGGAAGGTGAGTGGATGATAGTTTCCACTGAGCGTTAATGGATGTGTGTGTGTGCATGGTGATAAACTCTTGTGGTCAGAGACTGATGGAATAAAGCTGAAATAAGTCACCAGATAAATGTTCTCAGTGACAATCTTTGCGGAGCATGCTACTTCCCCAAAGCAACACTGGCATTACATGCACTCCCCTCTGAGTGGGATACGCTGTTTCCTCAGGTCTTCAAGTAACTGTGCCTATGAAGTCAACACATACATGTCACAGGATGTCAGAGCAAATAATGGGATCCTTTGCACATATATATTATAATGAACTCCCCCTCCCACACAAGCTGAGTTATAGATGGGCATGGCTTGAAAATGAAGCCAGAAGAACGGGAATTGGATTTCGATAATTTTGGACATTGTGGCCTGCATCAGAGGCCACTGCTGCTATGTCGTTGTACTGGATATGTTAAAAGTTTGCTGTTTTTTCTATTATTGTGTTGTGTTATATCCCCGGCGCTCTGTTTTGTATAGTGTAGTCTAAAAGTTTAAATATGGATAAAGAAGCCTAGAATTAAAAAAAAAAATCCTTGTTGGCTATTACTGGTGAACACCAGACCCTTATCTGGAGTAAATAGATGCAGTTCCAATAGCATCAAATGGCATCATGCTACTTTATGCCAGTTAAAGCTCCAGTCCTGGTCTTGCTGCTTGTACTCAGGCAGAACACTGCACTAACCATGCTAGAGTAAGACCAGCAGGATTGGGTCGTGAGCGAGTGTCTGAGTTGCAAGGCACATGAATGCCTGCCAAGGGAGCTCAGCCATGCTCAGAAGTATGTAAAGTGTTGGAGCTAAAAAGTGTCAAAGTAGCATTTGTGACCAATTACCCGAGATGAAGAGGGCAGAGTTATGTTTACACGTAGTAATGGGCAGCAATTCCAGTTCACAAGCTTGCACTGGATTTCCTTCCAGCCCTGGCACTCATGTGCATATTTCCACTCGCTTGCACAGAGCAGGGGGAAAAAACCCCAGGACTAACAACTTGCAAATACAAACAAGCAAACATATGACAACAACAACAAATGAGGGAAGGAAACTGCCATGTAGCAGCCGGGTAATTAAACATATACTGCGATATGCAAAAAAGATCATGGATCATTGTATCAGTAAAATAGCTTTATCAGCTGGGCTGAAAAATTATGCATGATGTGTCTGGATTGTTATTTTTCTCCCACCTGTGAAGCCCTGAGAAATTATCTATGCAAAAGACCAAGAAGTGAAAGCTGCCTCTGCCATCTTCTGTTTAATTAACACAGGTATACAGATTTAATACCATTTATCATGATATTATGGATTAAACAGTAACTAACGGTTGACAATGACAATGTTATCATGAGAGCTGCAAAGAATGGCTAGAATTTGATTGTGGCAGCTATTACCATTGTGGGCAAGCACAAGCTTGTTGAAGTTTTGGCTG